AAAAAAAAAAGGAAAAGAAATTCTGACACATGCTACAATGCAGATGAACCTGGAGGACACTGTGCTAAGTGAAATAAGCCAGTCACAAAAGGACAAATACTCTACAATTCCACTTATATGAGGTGCCTAAAACAGTCAAATTCATAAAGACAGACAGTAGAATGGTGGGTGCCAGGTCTGAAGGGCAAGGGAGAAGGGAGCTTTTGCTTAATGGGTACAGGAGTTTCAGATTTGCAGGATGAAAGATTTCTGGAGAGGAGTGGTGGCGATGGCTGAACAACAGTGTGATGATGTATTTAACACTATTGAACTATACACTCAAAAATGGTTAAGACGGTAAAAAATGAAAAAGAAACAGGAATTTCAAACTACATAAACTTCTGAATACATCTGAAAGAAATCTATTTTTCTTATAATTAAAGAAACTCAGCGACTCAGTCCTGAGTGTGGACAAGCACCACCTAACGCACGGGCCTTCGCGCCAATCTGGGCCCACTGCCCTCTCGCCGTGGGCACCAAATGCACAGTTCCTCTCCCTGTCCAGTCTCCTCTGCCTTGCCAGGCTGAGTGTGGGAAAACCAATGAGGAAGAGAATCTAAAGAGAAACACACGGCATCCCAGAATGCCTCTCTCCCTGGCATACCTTCCTCACACTGAAGTAAAGCCCAGAGAAACAAAGGGCACGATATTTTTTTAAACCCCTAGTCATGGGCGACCAAGTGAACTTTGTATAGGCACAGCCTCAAGGTGGCCGCATTTACCCAGAGGCCAGGAGGTGACCTAAGCTTAGACATTAGATCAGGGCTTCCATGGAGATATGCCCACCCAGCCCGGGCATCTCATCTTCCCACGGTTTATTTTCCTAACTTAGCAGAGGCCTTGGGAAGTAAAGTACAGTAGAGGAATAGATGAATGCCAAAGGATTTCTACAAGCAGCTGCTAACTTCTACTAACACACCGGCTTTCCTAGATTCATGAAAACCTCCCCTACAACGTGAGACAACTCACACTAGCGGAGAGTACCAAGAGGGCCAGCCCCACCAGGAACACAGTGTCCCCTTCTGCTCAAGCTTTACGTGGCCCCAGGGGGCACTCCTCGACCCTACTGCTCACCAACAGAATGATCCCATCGAGTTCAGAGAGGGCTAGTCTGTCACATTCCACGGGGAGGTCAGTCTGTGGTTTGTTACACTACACCCCACACTCAGTCTCCTCTCAACTGAAAGGACAGGGGAAGAAGGAAAGGAGGGAGGCAAAGTAAAAGATAATTTGCTGTTCCTTCCCCCAAAGAGTTCTTTGTCCTTCTACCCAACGTAGCCATGAAATCCAGAGCCAAAGATCAGAGTTCCCCCTCCCCCAGCTCTAGTGCCACCATAGAGCAGATACACACCAGGAACAAGGACTCACCTGCTGACATGGCCATAGTGGTCCCAGCCACCATGCCCATGGTGACCCCGTTGCCTCTGGGAGGAGGGATGGGAGCAGGGTACACCGTCGCCGGCATGCCGTTGGGCTGCACCACCGTGGTGTGGTGGATGACGTGGGGGGGTGCTGCATACAGCGGCTGTGTGTAGTACGTGCCTTGCTGTGGTGAGGAGAGAGACAAATGCCACAGGGTCCCCAGGGACAAGGGATGAGAGCCCATACAAAAACCACCCTTCCCACATGGCAGTGCACACCCAAGCATACCTGTGCATATGGGCTCTGCTGGGGGTAGGCACTTCGCACAGGGTACACGGCAGTCTGGTAGGGGTTGGGGGAGGAGGAGTATGGTGGCACGGCCCCACTGGTGGGGGAACAGGACACTTTGTAAGGCGTGCCGGGAGTGTAACCTGGAACAAAGAAGCCAGTGGCCTGAGTTCACCCGGGTCTGTGCCAGGCACAGTGGAGGACGAGTGTGGGGAGGAGCCAGGCTGCGTTTCGGCCTATTCACAACTCAGTCAGACCCGCCGCCGCCGCCGCCCCAGCTCTCCCTCCAGTAAGACCTCACTCTGTTTCTTAGACTCTGCGCACGTGCATTTACTGGGGAGCAGGGAGCGTTCGGGGAAGAGGAAAAAATACCAAAGGAGAAAGCTACACAGACCATATGCTCACGTAAGAACAGGACATAAATCCTGTTTTGTCCTGCTGAATATAAATTGGGATGGCCTTCCTGGGGTTCAATTTGGCATTAAAAGTATATATGTCTTTTAATCCCACAATTTCACCTCTAGAAATCCGTCTTAAAGACCAGGCATGGTCACTGTGTGACACCTATAATCTCAGTACTCTGGGAGGCCAAGGTGAGAGGATCACTTGAGGTCAGGAGTTTGAGACCAGGCTGAGCAACACAGCGTGACCTCGTCTCTACAAAAAATAAAAACATTAGCTGGGTGTGGTGGCGCATGCCTATAGATCCAGTTACTCATGAGGCTGAGGCAGAAGGATCACTTGAGCCCAGGAGTTTGAGGTTGCTGTGAGCTATGATCGTCCCACTGCACTCTAGCCTGGCTGACAGCGAGGCCGTCTCCAAAAAAAACAGGGGAAAGAAGCACGAATATACATACACATACAGACTTCACTATAGGCACGCTCGCCACAGTGCTGTTTATTAGCAAACACAAAGGAGAAACGTGTGCAACACCAGGAGATGGCTAAGCACCCTGCGGTAAAAAGATCTCTGGGTCACAGGAGAAGGCTGAAAACACACACTTGCTTTTGCTCTCACCCAAAACAACATGAAAATGACACTAAGGCAGATTAGGAAATAAAAAAACAAAGCCACACCAAAAATAGAAGAGAAGATAGCATCCTGAAGCCTAAACAGCTGATGTGGAAAATGATTTAGCAGACTCAAGAAAGCAGCACTCGCAGCCAGTGGAGAGGCACGAGGAGCAGCCTGACACCGTAAGCCCCTCCCCAAAGACCTGGAAACTCCGCCAGCAACTGCCTTCCAGAAGCCGATGAAGACCCCCAGTGTGGGAGAGCGTGGCAACTGCTGAATAAGCAGCGAGTGCCCGGTGCCCCTTCCTAACCCGCCCCCAACAGAGAATCGGGCTTTGCTTCTGGGGAGGGCAGGAGAGGCTCTCTGGACTGCTCTGTTCACAGCAGCTGTATCATAGCAACCAGAAGCTAGAAACGGCCCAAACGTCCACTGGCAGGCACATGAACAAACTGTGGAGCATCCACACAACCAGATACGACTCAGCAACCAAAAGAACAGACTGCCGATGCAACATGTGGATGAATCTCAAAGTCGTGTTATGTGGAAGAAGCCAGGCACAGAACACATGCTGTATGTCTGTGCGTAGGAGCCCTAGACAACTGTAACCCACAGTGATTCAAAAACACCATCAGTGGTGGCCAGGGCAAGAGGGCCCTCAGGGCCTTGCTGAAGAGCACAGTCGCCTGACCGTGGTGGCAGTTACACAGCTGCATGCAACTGTCCAAACATACCAAACTGCACACTGAAAAGGATTACATTTCTAATAGGTATGTTACACCTCTGCACAAGTGCTTTCTAGAACGTCTGTGAGGGCGCTTCACATTCTTGCTGGTAGGAACATGAAGAGTAGAGCGCTCGTTCATTCATGGAAGAGTCACACGGTGAGAATTCTCAGGCCACAGACACGCTTCCCACAGCACCCGCCAATTCTACTGCCAAACATTTCCCCTAGGAAATGAAACCACAGGTCCACAAGGGACCTGTAAAAAACGTTCATCAATCTTACTCCTAATAGCCAAACTGGGAAACAAACGCAATGTTCATCAACAGGAGAAAGGACAACCGCAATACATTCAAATAAACATTACCGAGCATCAAAGGAAGAAACGCGGATCAATCTCAAACCATGCTGGGCTTTACAAAGAAGCCAGACACAGAAGAGCACACGTGATATGATCCTGTTTATTTATCTAACACGGAACTTTACCTACAGTGACAGAAGTCAGAAGGAGGGAGAGGGTAAGAAAGCCTTCTGGGATGATAAAAGTGTTCCATATTTTGTTTTGGGTAGTGGGTCCGTGAGCATGCACACCTGTCAAAATTCACCCAACTCAACACTTAATATGTGGGTATTTTGTGCATAATTTATACCTCAGGTTTCAAAAATGAGCTGAGTATAAAAAAATTTAAAGTTAAATTTTTAAAAACTTTTAAAATTATACTATCGGACTGTGTTTGACAATGTACATGTATTTTGTTTCAATTTAAAAGGGAAAGAGAATGAATGACTCCTAGGAAAACTCATGAGTTTTAAACGGTCTTTTCAAAAAAAACAAAAAAAAACCACAAGAAAGAAATTTCCCTTTTCTCCAAGATACTAAGTCAGTCCTATTCAATTGTTCTGCTTCAGCCACAGGCAAAGACTCGGCAGTCCTTATCAGCACTGCCACGTACTCTGTGTGCCTAGGTTCACTACAACCTTAGCATCATGCCTCCTCGTCCTTTCCCTAGAGGTGCGCCTTCACAGCTGCACAGATAGGGATGCTGAGGCTGAGAGGCTGTGGCATGCCCCACAGGTGGCCTCATCCCAAGTACCAGAGCAGGGGCTCAAACCCACATTCCTCTGCATCTGCTTTTGACACCTTTGCCCAAACCAGGCAACTCTCAACCTCAGCTATTCTTTATTTAGAGAGAGAAAAGATCCTCCCAGGTCTCCCTATATTATTTTGAAACTCACTCACCGATATGTTAACTGTAAGTATAAACACTGTCAAAATTTGAATACACCACTTTTAATATATCGGTGCTTAGCTAAAGGAGAGCAGAATACACAGATTTTCTGTTAGGATCTGAAAAAACAAGTTTCAAGGCAAAAGCAGGTAAAGAGGCCATTTCTCTGGCTGCTCATCTCCTAGTCTTTAAGAAAGGTAATACAGGAAAGTGATGGTTTTACGGATATATCCATGTTAAAGCTTATCAAACTGAAGCTTTAAATCTGTGCACTTTCTTGTATGCAATTATACCAGAATGAGGTTATAAAACATCTTCCTTAATTATAAAGAAAAAGGTAGTATGGAAGCCATCAAGTTCTAGCTGTGTACTGACACTCCTGGGACGTGCCCAGGACGGCCCCAACTGCTAAGTGGCTGGCCAGCTCAGCAGAGGAAATGAGGTGCAAGTCACAGCAGGCACCCATGTGACCAGTCACAAGAAGGGAGCATTTCACCAGCACAGAGTGGCCATTTGAAACCAACACAGGGCCAGACCCTGCCATAGAGATGATCTGGAAAGATCCAGCCCTCTCCACAAGGTGCCTGAGTAAAGGGTAGAATCACAAGAAAACAGATCACCAACATAGTGGCATTTTATGTAGTCTCCGTAGGCAAGCAATAGTCAGTTCGGGCTGGGAGCAATGTTGTGTGGAGAGAAAGCAACTGCGGAAGAAGGCAGGGAAGTCAAGGCTAGTCCTGAAGAGCTCCCTCCTCCCCGGGCCACCCTCCCTGCTTCTTCACTTACGACCACGCAGCTGCCAGACACCAGCAAGCACCTTCGGGTTGAGTCACAGTGGATGCTACTAAATGTGATTCCTACTCTAGAGCTTAAATCCCATTTTTGCCCCATCATTTCCACTAGCCTGAATTAAGAGGTCCTCTCAGGAGTCACCAAATGCATATCTGACACTTTATGAAAGTGTCACAATCAAAACATCCATAGAGCTTGCCCTCTGTGTGTCACATTTGAGAGCAAATGCTAGACCTCCAAGGTGGGAGTCACATCCAGAATTCTGGGGCTAGTCCGTTTCACACGATTTAAAAGAACAAACCAACAGGGCCCCCTTTCTTCATCACACAATTAAAAAACATTCATGACACAGATGAGACAACTGGAAATATGAACTTGATATTATAATTGATTGTATTCTCGACAGTATTAAAGAATTATTTTTCAAGTGTGACAATGATATAGTTATATTTTTAATTTATCTTTTAAAGGTAATACTAAAACACTGATGATATAATGTCTGAGATTTGCTTCAAAATAAAATAGTGAAAAGTGGTGGGAAGACAGATGAAAAAGATCAGCTATACGCTGATAACTGCTAAAGAAAGGAGGGGGTAAGTGGGAAATATATTCCTGTGTACTTCTGTATATTACTTGAAAGTTTTCCAATACAAACTCTTTTAAAGACAATTATTTTAAAAATGTTAGTTTGTTAAGGATTAAAAAAGAGATGAGACATAAATTTAATTTTATAAACAAATTCAGCATGTAATGTTGAATAGATCCTGGTTCCAAAAATTAAAAAAAAACAACAACAAAAAACTGGGGGATAAACTGGGCAAATTTGAGTATTAACTATTGACTAAAATTAGGGAATTGCTGTTTCTAAGTATGCTAATGGCACCCTTGTCATGCAAAAGACTGTCCTCACTGTCATGTTTGAAAGGGCCACACTGAAGTCCACAACACAAGGGACTCAAAGGCTGCATAAAATTCTGAACTGGTTCAGGAGGAAAAAAAGAAAAAACCACCCACACCCTCACCCTTATATAGATAAAGCAAATATGGCAAAACGGTAACTGGTGAGTCTAGGTGGTGGATACTATGGGCATTCACTGTACCGTTCTCTCAACCTTTCTGTATATGTATTTGAAATTTTTTTATAATAAATAATGCAAAAAATATAATACTTTCAGATGATGGCACAACTGAGAAAGGGTCTAAGCTAATCAGAAAATCTCCATGGACACAACAGTCACACAGGAGCTCAAACAAGTGAGAAAGCTAACTGGAAGGCACCCACTGATAGCCACACGTCCCCAGGCACCCCCAGAAGATGAATGTAAAATCCTTCTGAGCCTTTAAAAAGGCCATCAGCAGGAGGCCTGGCTCTTCAGCATCTGATCT